CTCTGGTAGCGTAGTGGTTATGAATCGGGCTGCGAACCTTAAGGTCAGCGGTTCGAAACTACCAGCTGCTCCGCGGGAGAAAGATCAGGCTTTCTACTCCCGTAAAGATTTACACCCACGGAAACCCTGTACAGGGTCGCTATGGGTTGAAGCCGACTCTACGGCACTTAACAACAACAACATGTTGAGGCATTTCCCTTTAATTCCTACTTTGTTGAGTGTTTTTATTAGGAATGGATGTTGGATTTTGTCAAATGCCTTTTCTGCATCATTTGGTTCATTCCCTTTTTTGTGTGTGTGTGTGTGGTGGATTACATTGATTGATTTTCTAATGTTGAACTATCCCTGCTCCATGATATGAATCCCACTTGGTCATGATGCCTTATTTGTGTGTGTGTGTTATTGAATTCTGTTGGCTAGGATTTTGTTGAGAATTTTTGCATCTATGTTCATGAGGGATATTGGTTTATAATTTTATTTCTTAGTGATATCCTTTTCCTGGTTTTGGTATGAGGGTTAGGCTTGCTTCATAAAATGTATTAGGAAGTTTTCTATATTCTGAAATAATTTAAGTAGAATTGGTTGTAAATACTGTTTTGGAACTTCGCAATCCATATATTGTGAATATATTTATGTGATAAATATTGTTGTTAAAGTACTGTCAAGTCAATTTCAACCCATAGTGACCCTCTATAGGGTTTTTGAGGAGCAATTGGTGAGCTTGAACTGCTGACCTTGCAGTTCACATTGACTTTGCAGTCCAGTACATTAACCCACAGCACCACACCAGGACTCCTATGTGATAAATACACTAAAGCAATATTTTCCTGATCCATTAGAGTGATCCATTAGAAATGTTATATATATATATGTATATATAACCTCTTGACTTGATTCTGACTCACAGCGACCCCCTGTGCTACAGAGTAGAACTATTCCATAGGGGTCTATAATCTTTATGGGAGCACATCACAGGTCCTTTCTTCTACAGCACTCCTGGTGGGTTTGAACCACCAACCTTTAGGTTAGTAGTTGAGAGCAAACTGTTTGTACAACTTTAAATATATATATTGTTAAGCGCTCTTGAGGTGGTTCCGACTCATAGCGATCCTATATAGGATTCCTGAGGAGAAGCTGGTGAGTTTGAACCACCCACCTTGCAGTTCAAACTGACCTTGAAGTTGAGTGCTTATTTTATAACACCTCACTTGGACCCCATATATATATATATGTGTGTGTGTGTGTGTGTATAAAATGATTATATAAGTAATCATAAAGTTATATACTCATTGTAATAAAACAAACATTCAAATCCAAACAATACAGACATGGGTAGCATAGAAAATAAGTCTTCCTTAACCCCACCCTGGAGCCATAACCAGTATTGTTAAATTTTGTATCTGTATCACTTTATATTATACATGGATGTCTGTTTTTCCTCAGTGGACTCATGTTGTTCTGCAGTTTGCTTTTTCTCTCCCTGTAGCATGGACTTCTTTCCCTCTCAGTACTCAAGATCTATGGCATCTTGCTAACAGGGATCTGGTTTTCCGTTTCTGGGCAACCAAACATCTGACAAGACAGAAGGAGAAACAAAAGAGCAAACAAAAGTAACACATAAAACCAGTTGCCATGGAGTTGACTCCAGCTCGTGGGTTTACCATGTGTGTCAGAGCAGAACTGTCAACCTTCCCATTAGTGGCTTTGAGTCTTAGCCATTTGCAGCACACAGAGGGTCCACGTGGAAGGGATGTGCAGATAACCAGGTCTGGCCTCCCCCTACAGCTCATACTGGCTTTTTGCCTCCTGCCTCCTCAGGTGTATATATTCTTACCACAGCCCTGCTCCCTGCACTGGAGAGTGAACATGACCCCAGAGTGGTGAGTTGACTGTTTGGGATACTTTGTAAGTAATGGACTTTGTTCCTGGTGGGAAGTTAGTGGCCCTATGATTGCTGCCCCTCTTGTCCGAATAGGCTATTCTGCCCACACCCCCTGGAAAGGCTGATTCTCCGAGAGGTAGCTTGTCTGCGGCTAAATAGGCTGAAACAAAGCCCAGACAGGCCTAACTGAGTGCTGCAAGGAGCTGGACCAGAGGTTGGGAGGATGCTTCCACTCATGAAGCACAGACTGGGAGCCCCAGATGCTCCTTTGGCAGTAAAGAACTTCCTCCTCCTCCTGATGTCAGGAAGAACCCAACCTCCCCGACTCCTGCCTCTCCTCATTGCTGTGGGGACAACTTCCCATGTGTGAGAGAGCCAGCTCTGCTCCACAGGGCTTGAAAGTGTCTAATTTGTCAGAAGCACATCTCATCACGCCCTTCTTTTGAGGTGCTTCTGGGGGCGGCGGGGGGATTTGAACTGCCGACCTTTTCATTAGCATCTGAGCACATTAAAAACAAAACAAAACAAAAAACCCAAACCCACTGCTGAAGAGTAGGTTCTGACTCATAGTAAACCTGTTGGACAGAGGAGAATTGCCCCATAGGGTTTTTGAAGTTGTGAGTGTTAATGGAAACAGATTGCCACATCTTTTTCTCCCATGGAGCAGCTGGTGGATTTGAACCATTAATCTTTTGGTTAGCAGCTGAGTGCTTAACCCCCTCAAATTCCTTGTGGGGAGGGAAGCTGAGCTGTCAAGAGCTGTGCTACAGACCCGAGCCCTCAATGAAGGTCTGTCCTCAGTGTCCTCAGAGGGGACAAATCATGAGGGGGGAAAGGCGACTCTGAAGAGTGGGGCAGCTGGGTGAGGCCTTAGTCAGAGGTGGGCGTGCATTTCCCAGAGACCACCCTGCTGGAGTGGGAGGAATCCAAAGGAAGGCAGGTTTTGTAGGCTGGCTTCGCTCTGCTATTCTGTGGTAGACAGAATAATGTCCCCACAATGTCCACAGGTTCCTCAGTTCCTTACGTAGGAACAGGGACTTTGCAGGTGTGATGGGGAGATGATCCTGTCTGCTCAGAGTGGGTCCAGTGTAATTGCCAGGGTCCTTATAAGAGGAGGCAGGACATCTGAGTCAGATGTGATGATGGAAGCAGAGGTTGAGGGGAAAGAGGCAGCCTTCCGAAGCAGGAGCAGGAGAGCCTCCAGAAGCAACATGGTCTGCTGGCCCCTTGATAAGCCCATTCCCACCAAGTCCATCTTGATTCATAGTGCCCCCTGTACAGGGTTTCCAAGTCTGTAAGTCTACGAGAACAGACAGCTTCATCTTTCTGGTACCTTGATATCAGCCCCATAAGACCAATTTTGGACATCTGACCTCTAGAATTGTAAGAAGAAATTTGTGTTGTCTAAGCTGCTAAGACTGTGGTAAATTGTTGTAGCAGCAGTAGATGGCGGATCCACTACTAGGTAAAGAAGACATATGAGGGACCCCCTCGTATGACTTTAGCTTTGCTTCATAGAAAAGACAGCTGTAATGAGAGAACAGAACAGAACAGAACAGAACAGAACTTGTTTAAATGGTATTTCTTTGGTGTTTTTCTTTGCGGGAGGAGTGAGAGGATAAAAGTCCACGGTGGTCCTCTTTTCATTTCAATAAGAATATTTTAACTGTACTATAGAGTCCTGGAGTCCTGGTATGGCACTGTGAGCTAATGCGTCAGACTGCAAAGTCATTTGAATTGCAAAGTCGATGGTTCAAGCTCATCAGCTGCTCCTTGGAAACCTTATACGGAATCGACTCGACGGCACTTCACAACAACATAGAGTCTGGGTGTGGCACTGTAGGTTAATGTGCTGCACTGAAACATCAATTTGAACCACAAAGTTGGTAGTTTAAACTCACCAGTTGATCCTCAGAAACCCTATACAGGGTTGCTGTGAGTTGGAACCGACTCAACCACATTTAACAACAACATAGAGTGATAAATAAAAGTTAAAGATGTCAAGTGAATTCACTATAGAGTTAATTTTGTGTTGTTTCTTGGGAGAAACCCAGTTTAGCCACAACCCTTCTAATTAAGAAACATTTCTTTAGTAGTTAAGGTAGAAAATTGTGGCCACCATACTGATTTTTTTCTGGACTGCAAATCACAAGTTCAGCGGTTTGAGCCTGTCAACTACTCCACCGGAGAACTATGAGGCTTTTTGTTCTCACAAAGGCTTACAGGCTCAGAAGTTGGTTGGAACCAACTTGATGACACTTAATAACAACAGTACATGCTGATTTTACCTCATGTAAACTTTCAAGTTTTTCTTCAGTTTATGAAGAACTTTTAAAACTTACAATGAAAGAAAATGATGAAACACAAACATAGTAAAAAGATAGCCAAGATAATGTGCTAACATGAGAGGGAATCTAACATGTGTTTACAAATTTCTATCACCTTTATTGCAGATAACTGTCTCCTCAGGAGGAATGTTGGTTCAGAAACTGAATTCCAGTGATCTACAGTCCGAAAGGGCAGCATTTAATGGAACTATGGTCTATGCACAAAACAAGGTCAATGAGGTTTCCCAAGCCTGCAGTGTATGAATGGTTTCTTCCCACAGATGGCTGATTCTGGGAGCCACTTAATTTGAGCCTTAGTTAGCACACAATGGAGTTCCTGGGTTGTGATGGTTATGTGCTGTGGAGTCGGTTCTGACTCATAGTGACCCTGCATAGGGTTTCCGAGGCTGTAAATCTTTACAGGAGTAGAAAGCCCCATCTTTCTCCCGTGGAATCACTGGTAGTTTCTGACATTGAGATTAGCAGCCCGATTCTTAACCACTACACTACCAGAGCTCCTTTCCTGGGTTATACAAATGGTTAATTTGATGACTGCTAAGCAGAAGGTTGGAGTTTAAGTCCACCCAGAGGTGTCTTGGAAGAAAGGCCTAGTGATTGAAGTCTATAAAATCATCTGTTGAAAACTCTCTGGAGCACAGTTCTACTCTGACCTACATGGGGTAGCCCTGAGTCAGAACCAACTGGATGACACTTGGATTTGATTTTAGTACACAGTTCCCTAGCTAAGAGGACTCTGTGTAGCTCTGCTGAGGCCCAGCACACCCTGGGAGAAACCTAAACTTCTGCCACTTCTCTTCTAACTGTTTCTCAGGCTATCCAGAAAAGAGTGGCAGCTGGTGACCACTGAACCTAGGACCCCAGCAAGGGTGTTCAGCCCCCCCAGCCGAGCCCAGGGGGAAGGAGGAGGACAGGCCTGTTCCTCCTCTCCCTTTTGAGGACAGAAGCAACAGGAACAACTCTAGGAGATCCTGGCTCACTCTGAAGGGCATGACCATTTGATTCTGAAGAACAAAAGGGATAAGAGATGCCAGGTCAGATGTTAACAGAAAGTGTGGTTGCCCTGCTGTGAGGTGTATCAATGTGTTATCAGGATTTTTGAAAGCCTAATCTATAAATTCCACATTTCCAGTTTTTGCTCTGAAATCTGCTTGATTTTGGAGACTGCTTATGCCCATTAGCTTTCCCTGGTTAGAAGTTGTCAGCCCCTCTGTGAGATTCTCTTTTCCTCTACCTCCATCAAGTGTGCCAGGGGAGTGTCCATGTTTGCTCATTAACTCCCAGACGAATTGCATTGGACAAATCTGCAAAAAGCGTCTTTAAAGTGATAAAGAGCAAAGATGTCACTTTGAGGACTAAGGTGAGCTTGACCCCAAGTCATGGTATTTTCAGTCACCACATATGCATGTAAAAGCTGGACAAGAGCATAGAAGAATCAACACATTTGAACTATGGTGTTGGTTGGTCCAAGAATACAGAAAGGACCATGGACGGCCAGAACCAACAACTCTGGGAAGAAGGACAGGCAGAATGCTCCTTAGAGTGAGGATGGCCGGACTTCATCCCTCAAACTCCAGACATGGTGTCAGGAAGGACCAGTCCCTGGAGAAGAACATCATGCTTGATGAAGTGGAGGGTCAGCAAAAAAGAGGAAGCCCCACAAAGTGACAGACTGGCATAGTTGGGTTGGCACAGTGTTAGCACACACATATCACTAACGGTAAGGATGGCACAGGACTAGAAGTGTTTTGTTCTGGTGTACACAGAATCATTATGAGTGGGGACCAGCTTGAAGGCACCTAACATCAACTCTCAGACCAGATCCTGGTAACCCCTTATCTTGACTCAAAATGCTTCCTCAGGGGACACGGAGTTAACGTGTCACATTATATATGGTGCTCAGAATTGGAGTTCTTCAAAAGCGTCATCAGACTGCCCTCGGATAACACCATGTGTTGTCTAAGCATCTCCCTTATGTTTGCTATGCTTTATGTGAGGCAGGAGTTGACTATTGATGTGCCCTCGCCCACCCCGTGCCTGCTCTGTGCTGGGTGCTGGAAGTACTGTGGTCAGCAGAGTGGACCCCAGCCAGCCAGCCTTCACTGACTGACATCAAGAAGTCAAACAAGTGATTTGTGAAGGAGGAATGTCTAGCACCCAGGGGATTCGATTTCACAAGGGGTCAGGGAAGCCCCAGGCAGCATGCAGCCTGGGGTCTTTATTATTATGGTATTTTTTCCCCTACTCTTCTCGCCTGGTGGCTTCCTGAGGGCGAAGCAGATGGAGTGGGGTCTGCCTCACTTCTCATTCTCACCTGTTGATTTTTCCCTCCTGTCCCAGAGGCAGCAGGTGGTTTTGACTGAGCGATGGGCCAGCATGCACCGAGCCATCCATTTCTCGTCCATGCATCCTGGCTGGGTGGACACTCCAGGTATGCCACGCTGCTTACAGTATTTCATCTAAAAATGCCGCTGGATTGGCTTTCCCCAGGAATGACCCCAAACCAGTGGGACGAGGACCGAGGATTTCATGTCTGTTGGGTTGGGCATGGAGTTCTGGTATGGCGCTGCAGGATACTGTGCTGCCCTCAAGGGCAGTTTGAACCACAAGGCTGGTGGTTCAAACCCACCAGCTGCTCCTCGGAAATCCTATACAGGGTTGATTTGGGTTGGAATCTAACAACTACAACAAGAAGGTTGGGCATGTTGGGACCAGATAGGGAGAAGGCTGGTTGTCAGGGCAGGGCCTTGTCCACAGGGTGCTTTTTGCAAAGCCATGAATGGGGCCAGGCTCCAGGAGAGCACCCAGTGATGACTGAGCTACTTCCAGATCAGAGATGAAAGGCAGGGGCTGAGGAAAGGCCGGGGCCACCTCCGCCTCTCGCTCCTGAGCCTCCGTGGATAACGATCACAAAGGAGACACCTTGAGTTCTCTGGAAGCATGTCAGAACAGGAGCCCTTCCCAGCTCAGCCCCTACCAACTCCGTGCCTCAGGTAGACCGCTCGGGCTCTTTGTAGCTTTTTCATCCTCCCCAGACAAACTCACTGCCACCCAGTCGATGACCCACTCATAACTACTCTGTAGAGGGATTCCGAGGCTTTCAATCTTTATGGGAGCAGACAGCCTCATCTTTCTCCCTCTGAGTGACTGGTGGATTTGAACTGCTGACCTTGTAGTTAGCAATCCAGTGTTTATCCTACAGCACCAACAGGGCTCAAGGCAATTATAAACACAGCAGCGGCAACAAACCTTCTTTTCATTCAAATTTTTCCACAATAAACAAGCATTATTTTTACAAAAAGAAAAGAAAGTTTATTTTTAACTGAAAAAAAAAGGAGAGCCTTAGATGATCTCTTATCTTTACTATGATCTCAGTAACACTTCTAATTTTTTTGAAACTTTTGTTTTCTCTGGTTTATTTTCTTTCCTTGGCTTCACAAGAGAAGTATTTTGTTTCCCAATGTGCTCAATTTGGAGACAGTATGTTCCCTGAGGTTTGTGGGGAAATGGGTTTTTTTGCCTGCAGCCAAATTGCAAGGCCAGCCGTGCTTGGGTTGGGGCTGCCAAGGGAAGGCCCCAGGCTCGGTGAGAGGCAGCGCAGAGACACCTCTGTGTAGCTCTGGGAGCAGGGGGAAGGCATGGTAGACAGTTTGGCAGGAGGTAAAAAACATCTGTCCTTTCTTACGACTCTCCTCCCTAAAAAGAAAATATGAAAATAGTCCAAGAACCAACCAATATCCTGAAAGCAGGAGTCCAGAGTCTGCGGATCTAACCGTTCTAGCCTCAGTGTGGGCCCCCAACTCATCAGAGCTGTTGGTTGGGGTTAGAGGCTTCCTTGGCAGTCTGAGACCATGAGTTTACACTTGGGTTGACTGGTGTGAGGTCAGTGGACAGGACTCCTCCCCGGTACCTTCTGAAGTGCAGCCCTTTCTAAATAGGCAGTAGGGAGTGCCTTAGGGCCTTTATGACAAGGGCCTTTGAAATCTCTTGCAGCTTGGAGAAGTGGGGTTTTTTTTCATGTTTTATTGTGAATTATATGATTGTTTACATGAAAGAACTTTAGTTTTACATTCATTCTATCATATATCGTTTCATTGCCATGGTTCCAATCCCCTCCATGCATCATCAACCAACCAAAGGGTATACCCTATAAGCCTGTCCCCTACACTCCCCCTCCCCTCCTCCCTCCATTCTTCAGCACACAGTCCCTCTCCCTCTCTGGATCCAAAGTCCCCAGCCGCTTCATCACTCCAGAGAAGTGTTATTTTGAAGTAAAAGTTTATGATGCAATTCCATTTTGTGATTACTGGGGGGCTGGGTACTAAAAATGATGCCAACCATACTGAATCAACCTGTCTCTGCCCACTTCTTCCCCCAGCTGTGCAGCTGTCCATGCCAGGCTTCCATGCCAGGATGAAGGGCAGACTGCGCTCAGTGGCACAGGGGGCAGACACGGTGCTGTGGCTTGCTCTGTCCCCTGCGGCCACCATGCACCCCAGCGGCCTGTTCTTCCAAGGTAATTCACTTCCTGTTTGTGTCCCTAAACCTGTCCTGAAACATAGGGTGGGTTTCCCATCCTTTCCTTGACAGTGACTAGGCTCCTTCCCTGGCCACTGCTACCCAACATCTGCTACTCTTTTCACCTTCCTCTTCCTCTTTCTGAACTTGGTGGGCCCTTTGAGTACAGAAATCCCCTAGAATCAAGGTGGGGCCAATCGTAACTCAGAGATGATCTCAGTCCTAGAACACATGTGGCCCAAAGCAGTAAGTGGGCTCTGCTTTTGCAAGCAGTTACCTGTTGCCTTTTTGTTCTTTTTTTTCTTGGAGAGACTTAGGGAACAGTACTGAGGTGAGGAGGCAAAAGCTGAGAAGCACAAAGGGCCTGCTTTCCTGGGGCAGAGCTGGGCTTCCCTTGCCATCTTTCCTGGTGGTCCCGCCTTCATTCAGAGGTGTCTCTGGAGAAAGGCCTGGTGATTGGCTCACGTCAGCACAGTTCAATCCGACAGTCTTGGAGCCACAAAACAGCAACTCCTTTTTCTTTCCTGTGCTGGTTCTACAGGACCTAGTGTGTGAGACCCTTGAGAACAGTCTATACCAAACTCCCAGGGCCCCTGCGGCTTCCTCCCTCGCAGACTTCAGTGACGTGGTGGACCAGAGGTGGGTCCACCTTGCTGTTCACCCACCTTTTGTTTTCCTCTCACCATTAGATCGGAAACCAGTTTCTACCCACTTGCCTCTTGCTAGAACGTCTTCCTCACAGGCTGAAGAGGAGAAGCTCACTGAAGTCCTGGAACAGCTGGCTCAGAGATTTAAATAGGCCAGGCCCCAGAATCTTCTTCAAAAAGAAACCCACTCCCCTCCCCTCCACACCCCTTAGCAGTGAGGCACCCTCAGGGAATGGCAACATTTGACAATAAATATGATCGGGGCTGCTCACCTAAACCTTTGGCAGCAGGTTCTTTTCCTGTTATTATACGACAAGGCTCTTAACAATTACACTCTGACCATGGCCTCTTCTTCTCCCACCTGACCAGTGAACAAAGTTGACAGGTGGCGGCTTGGCACTGCCTTTGCCAAGAACGTTGCCAAGAACAAGCAAAATCAAGGGACAATGGGCATTAAATACATATGGAAGTCATTGGACAGTATCATTAATATCTCAAACAAGGAAAATTTTGCTCAAGATAATCCCAAAAGAGCTGCAAATGTACACTGACAGAGAACTGCCAGAGGTTCAAGCTGGATTCAGACAAGGACATGGAACAAGGGGATATCACTGCTGATGTCAGATGGATCTAGACTAGAAAGATGTTAACCTGTGCTTTGTTGAAAGCAAAGACTTTCGATTGTATGGATCATGACAAGCTATGTAAAACACTTTGGAGAATTGAGTAATCTGGTACACTTCATTGTGCTCCTGAGGAACCTGTACATAGACCAAGAGGCAGTTGTTCGAGCAGAACAAGGTAACACTGAATGGTTTAAAATCAACAAAGGTGTACGTCAGGGTTGTAGTCTTTCACCATGTTATTCAATCTTTATGCTGAGCACATAACCTGAGAGGCTGGATTCTATGAAGAAAAACATGGCATCAGGATTGGAGGAAGACTCATTAACAACCTGCGATATGCAGATGACACAACTTTGCTTGCTGAAAGTGAAGAGGACTTAAAATACTGATGAAGATCAAAGACCATATCCTTTGGTATGGGTTGTACTCAATGTAAAGAAAATTAAAAAAAACTCATCACTGGATCAATAAATAATATCATGATAAATGGAGGAAAGATTCAAGTTGTGAATGACTTTATTTTGCTCAGATCAGCCATCAATATTCATGGGAGTAGCAGTCAAGAAATCAAACAATCCTGTGAACCCGGGTGGAGACCTGGTTGGCCAGCAGTGTGACAAGACCTGGGGACTTTTTGGCCCAGAGTCAGTGACATAGCCACAGAGGACTGGAGTGGAGAGAGAAACATCCAGCTGATAAGAAGAGAGGGCATATGCACAAGAACACCCACACTTACAGATAATACCCACTTGACATGACTTCAATGAATGGGTGATCAGAGCTCAACTAGAAGAAAGAAGAGGAAAAAAAGAGTAATCTGATCCAATTTGATGAACTTGACCTACACCTATGGATGCAGTAGCTCAAAAGAGAGAACAAATCTTTACAGCAAGGATCATTCCCACCCCCTCGATACACAGAGTAGACAGGGATGGGCAAATTGGACATTGGCTACCCAAAATGGAGGGGCTACAAAGGCAAGAAGTGACTGGCTTACAAGCTTTCAAGAGAGAATCTAGATCCAGAGGGTGTGGAGGAAGGTAGAATCTCCACTGAGTAGTTTCCAATCTGTTTGGACGGATAGGTCTCTTGTGATACAGTAGTGAATAATTGTTATCAGGACTGATTGTAAGGGTTGGAAATGTAAAGGTAGACATTTTGTAGCAAAAGAAGGGGAGTGATTGATTTTTCAGTCTAGGAGCGGAGGTCCCTTGGAAGAAGAGTGGAGAGCGGGAAGAAGAGTGGAGAGCGGCACCCTACCCAGAGAAAGAGTGATGCCAGAGATGGAGGCAGAGATGATGACATGCAGATATGCATCAGCCGGGGACTTTAGACCCAGAGAGGGAGAGGGGCTCTGTGCTGACTATGTGGGGGTGTGTGGAGGTGGAGGAGGAGGCAGCCTTGCAAGGTATACCCTGTGGTTGGTTGATGATGCATGGAGGAGATTGTAACCATAGCAATGAAATGATAATAGGATACGATGAATGTAAAACTAATGTTCTCCCATGTAAACTACCACATAATTCACAATAAAACATTAAAAAAAAATCAAATAATGTATTGCATTGGGCAATTCTGTTGCACAAGACCTCTTTAAAGTGTTCAAGAGCCAAGATGTCAGTTTGGGGACTAAGGTACAACTGACCCAAGCCATGCTATTTTCAGTAACCTCATATGCATGTGAAATCTGGATCGTGAATAAGAAAGACCATAGAAGAATTTATGCTTTTGAATTATGGTGTTGGAGGAGAATATTAAAAGTACCATGGCTGCCAAAAGAATAAACCAATTTGTGTTAGACAGCATGCTCCTTGTAAGCCAGGATGGCCAGACTTCGTCTCTCATACTTCGGACATATTGTTAGGAAGGACCAGTCCCTGGAGAAGGATATCATGTTTGATAAAGTGGAGGGTCAGAGAAAACGAGGAAGACCCCCAACTAGATGGATTGACACAGTGGCAGCAGCAATGGACTCAATGTAACAACAATTTTGAGGTTGGGCAGGACCAGGCAGTGTTTCGTTCTGTTGTGCATGGGGTCACTGAGTTGGTACTAACTTGATGGCACCTAATAACAACAACAGCAACAAAGCTTATGCTTGGAGTCCTGGTGTGGTGCTGTAGGATAAGCACTGGACTACAAACCACAAATTCAGTACTTAAACCCACCAGCTGCTCCTTGGAAACCCTATACAGTATCACTGAGTTGGAACCAACTTGACAATACTTGACAACAGTTTATATTTATAGGGGCCCTGGAGGTGCTGTAGAATAAGCACTGGACTGCTAGATCGCTAGGTTGGCTGTTCAGACCCATCAGCTGCTCTCATAAAGATTTATAGCCTTGGAAACGCTATACAGGGTCACTATGAGTCCGAATCGAATTGATGACAGTGATTTATGATTTTTGAATTCATGCACGATTGTTGTTGCTGTTAAGTGCCATCAAGTCAGTTCCAACTCATAGTGACCTTGTTTCCAAAGCTGTAAATATTTCCAGGAGCAGAAAGCCTCTTCTTTCTCCCATTGATAGGCTGGTGACCTTGTACTTCTCAGTTCAGTGCTTATCTTAAACAACACGCCTGGCATTCTTATCGTAGTTTGCTAAAATCTCTAAACCACACCATGTTACCTCTAAGTGGCATCAGGGAAGTTGTAACAAACCAGTGAACAGATTTAGAATGATCTGTCTACAGTCTCACTTGCAGCCAAGGAAAGCCTGGTGGTGCTGCCCAGCCCCTCACTGGACTGCATTCTCACTGTTGCCCAAGGCCCTCAACCAGCCCTCTGGTTCATTTTCCCCAGGGAAGGATGTTTTTGGGTACACATGCTGGGCTGGGAGGGGAGTGTCCCTCAGGGATAAAGCAGTGTTTTGCAGTGGGAGGTGTGGGTGAGGTCTGTGTAGGAAGGGCACTGCCCCTTGGTTTCTTTGCACTTATTTTCTGAACCATCGAATGGGTCTCATGAGAGGCATTTAGAGCAGTTTTGCCTGGCTGAGCATGCCCTTCTTGTCTGGAAAGTTCATTAACCAGTTAGAACAGACTTGCGTGAAGATAAATCAAAGGGACTAGGTGCCACAGGTTCCTGGATGGCACAGTTTGCACTTAGCTACTCAAAGTTTGGAGGTCTGAATCTACCTCATGGCACCATGGAAGGTGTACCTGATTCTGGAAGATGACATCCACTGAAAAACCTATGGAGCAGTTTGACTCTGACACACCCAGGGTCACCGTGTGTCGAAATCCTCTCGGTGCCAGGAGGTTTGGGAGTTGTTTGTTACAATGGTCACAGCCCATTTGCTGTGCTTCAAGTCTGTGGTGAGCAGCAGTAGACACACCCCCAGGCAGGATGGATCCCACAAAGTGAACCCCAGAGTTGGATGGCCATGGTGCATGTGCTACAACAAAGGAGGGTCCACAGCTGCAGGAAGGTTTTCGCAAAGATTTATTTTAAACCATGGAAGCAACTTTACATTGAGAGTCTTTTATGCTGACCATGGTGACAGGTACATTTTGGTTGGAGAGAAGCACAGTGGGAAAGTAAGCCGAGTAAAGACATGGAGGCTCAGCAGCATTTGAATGGACAACGGGATACAAACACTGTAAGACAGGTAATTTTTGCTCGTTACCACGGAAGCACATTCAGAGCATCAGTTTCCAGATGGGGTGATCTGGGTTGGTGGGATCTAGTGGCCAAGGATATGGAAAATGCCAAGAGCACAGCTAGAATCACATTTGAGAAATCTGTTTCCACGTCAGGCTTAGGACATTCTCAGCCCAGCCCCTTGGAGGATTTCCTCATTTCAAAAGAAAGGAAAAGATCTTCGTAAAGGAACCTGCAGTCAGTGTGAGCTGTGGGCTGCACATGTGGTGGACATGCGAGTGGTCGAGTCCATCTCTCTGGTTTTGGGTAAAGAGATTGGGCAGGCACTGAAATGTGGGGCCAGCACCTTCCCTGCTGTCCAGTTATTAACAATGTTTATACCTTTCATATAAAGATTCTAAAAAGTCACTTAAAAAGCACGACAAATGGCATAAAACACAAACATCTGAATACAATGGTTAACTGTCGCACACCTGTTTTGGTCCATACTTCATTCTGGCATATGCTATTGATGTAAGGCTGTGATCCATTTAAAGAAAGACATTTATGTGAGTATAAGTAAAATACTTTCTCATACTACTTTCCCTTTTTACTAGTTAGCTCTCCTCACTCTCTCATGCTTCCCAGAGAACCAAGGGAACAAAGGGGGCAATGTCAGAGAAAGGATCATAAATGCCAAGATGGAATTATTGATCTAACCTTTAAACCAACTTGCAATTCTTTGAAACATCCTCTCCCAACAGGGTCAGATACTCGTCTGACTCATAAAGGTGAGCATTTGAGGTATTTATTTTGAATGAGATGGTACCATGATTATGTTCACCTTTCTCTAAACCAAATCTACTAACTCAAGATGGGCAAATTTAGAAAACAATTCACTGATATGGCAGAAGACAACAGAAGCATGCAATGTGTTTTGTTCTT